AAAGCTGATTTTGCTAAACTCATGTGATGAAGCTTGAAGCCAGAAGCTAATCTTAAGGGAAAGGGTTTAGTATTTTGTACAAACACTTAGTTTTAATGTATCTTGACATGTTCCCATTATTGGTTGTTGGAATGTTGGTTTGTAAATTTTTAATTTCCTTCATGATATTAAATACGTAATCAGAATTTTTTTGTTTTATATGGAGATATGGCTACACTCTACATAAAATCATTTTATTTGTTGTTTTTTTTGCAATTTTATATATACTAAGGGAAGGGGCCTCATTTAGTTTATTGCCTAGGGCCACCGAAAAGTCAGGGCCGGCCCTGATCACAACGACGCCGGTTGGATGAGAGAGTTAGGGACAATAGGTGCACCGCTGACTGGAACGAGCTGCTTGACTTCACTGCTCGACTTTTGCTTGCTCAAAACCTCTGCTTTGCCATTTATGAAACTCCTCCAATCAGGGACGGATCTACAGAGGAGCAAGGGTGGTCAAGTGACCCCTGCAACCTCTGAAATCTGCCATGGAAGGGGAGAAAATTGACCCCTGCAAAGTGTTTGATGAAAGTCCCCAAAGAGCCACAATCTGCTTCTCCAGCGCGCAGAGATCTTGCACGCAGCGCTGCTTGCACGCTTCCTTTTTCTTTTTTTTTTTATCCTCGACGTCAAAACGACGTCGTTCTACTAATGTTTTTATTTATATATATATATAAAAAAAGGCCAAAACCACGTCGTTTTGTCTCACGTTTTGAAAAAAAAACAAAAGAAGGCGCAGACTCTGTTTAACACAGAGAGCCCGATACCTCCCCTCCCCATATCAGTTTCAGCTCCCAGATTTGGGTATTAATTGTAAACGTATCTTGGGAATTTGTTCTTTTTCAAGTTATGATCTTTCTAGCTGGGTTTTAGAAATGTAGAAATTTGGAAATTGAACAATCACTGTACTTTGCCAATATTCTGGCATAAACCTGGTTTTTTGGGGCTCTGTTTTTGTTCAAGTTTAAAGTTCATTTCGTTAAATTAATTGTCTGAATCATTGATTTGTGTTTTCTAGTATTGTTTTGTATATAATCTGTTTAAATTTGATGACCTTTCTGCCATTTTGTGTTCTAATGGCTAGAACAATAGATTTGATGAATTATTGGGCTCTGTTCTTTTTCAAGTTTTAACTTTGTCATTTGGTTCCAAAAATTCATCTTGTTTCTAGGTTTATCAGTTTCTTGAGGATTTTTGTCAATCTGTCGGCATCAATCTTGTTTTAGGATCTATCAATTTCTTGATGATTTTTGTCGATTTGTTTAAACTTGATGAATTATCTGAATCTTTGCGTTCTAAAATCTCCTCCTTATCTAATTTTTCTCGTCTCTTTTTGTTTACAATTTCAGTAAAGCTAGAAACTAGGCAAGTCTTTGCAACTCAATTTCCCATGCTTTCAAGGTACATTGGTCAGATGAATGTACCTCAGCTCCGAAATCAATATCAAGTAGCCGTCGGGACGTTGACCCCTGGAAGGAAAATTCCTGGATCCGTCCCTGGTTCAAGGTAATGAAATCAAGGCTAGTTACACTATAGAAGCATGCATGCACTTACTTCATTAATTATAATAAGGACAACACCTGGAATTCTAATTGTCTTTTGATTCTTTTTCTCAGTGTTTACACATGAAATTTCTTTGTGTCGGATGTAGAGTTTCTTTGTCTGGAATAATTGGAGTTTGATTTGCTTGACTTCAGATTTGATATTTCAGAGAGAGAAGGAGAAATTGCTCAAAGTTGCTGCAATTGGAGATTATTGTTTTTTTTATTTTTGGTCGAAAGCTGCAATTGGAGATTAAGTTGCAGGAAAGAAGAAGCCATTTGTGAAAGCTTGGGTTTTTGGATTGCAGGGCTGTGAAGAGAGTAACGTCTAGCTAGCTGATGTGGACTGATCTAAGTCATTAGATTATTTTAGTGGCTTAAATTTCACAAAATAAGGGTAAATGCACGAATTCTAAATGCAGAGGCTTGGATCCATTATTAGGTTAAAAATCACACATGGACATGGCAAGAACTAAAATTAATTAGATTTTGAATTGTTAGAAACTTAATCCCTAAAATTGAGGATATAAAATAATTATGGATATGCTAGAAATTTAGAAATGTTATTATTGTGTTCTCATTTATAATAACAGCAAATGGTAACACCATGCAAGTCCCACAATGATGAAATCCGTGACATTTGTTAGTACTTGGTATAGTTAATAGAATTAAGGGGATGTTATATATATATATATATATATATACCGGTTTCTCTTGGGCCACATTCAACTGGGGATACTGCATATATGTACTTCGTACATAGGTGTACTCAAGAAAATTCGATATATCTACACACGTAAAAAGTAAGTAAAAAAATATATAAAAGCTAGAAAAAAGAAGTACAATTAAATTTCAAAGATAAGAACAAAATGTTCAAACACCAAAAATAAAAAATTGACATGGACAAGAGTTTGATGAATCACCATGGTTCACACCTATTTTAAAGGTTAATTAGCTTAAGGTATGACTTTAGAACTTTCCATTCAACACTAATGATTGATAAAATGATTAATAAATTGGATAAAGATAATCAGAAATGATGATCTCTAGATTCTCTAATAGAACCTACCTCGAAAAACAAATGGTTATACGTACAAGCCATCTACGTGTACGTATAGTCTGGGTTATAACCCTAATTAGGATGAAGGAGAACCCTTTAACGTACCATCGGCCCTTTAATTTTCATGCAAGCCATCTGCTTATATTGTCAAACACACAATATATAGTTATTAGATTATGGGGATGTTAGGTAAAAGAGTAGATTAAAGCTAGAAAAAACAAGAACATTTAAATTTCAAAGATAAGAACAAATATATGTCCAAGTACAAAAAGAACAAACTGAGACGTGGATAAGTTTGATGAATCACCATGGTTCACACCTATTTTAAAGGTTATAAGCCTAAGGCATGACTTCAGAACTTTCCCTCAACACTAATGATTGATAAAATGATTAATAAAATGAATAAAGATAATCAGAAATGATCTACAGAAGCTACCCAGAAAAACAAATAGTAATCTCTGGATACATGGATTTTAATGCAAGTTATCTGCTTATTGTCAAACACACAACAAACATATACGTTCCTTGAAATAGCAAGGAAGCTCTCTGATCTGTTGACCAAGCATCTAATTCTTATTACATATATAGCCCCCACCATGTTCCCAGTACTGAGGAAAGATTTCTATTTCATATATCTACCAGAGGAGCAAGCTGTCTGCACTAAGCTTTTATAGAAATCTACCAGAGGCACAACAATCTTGCCCTTGTTTATACAAGGTGTGCAAATTCACTTCTCTTTTTTGCCTTTTTGTTTTTTGTTTTTTGTTTTTTGGTTTTCAATTCATAATATTTCATTTGGTAGTTGGTAGTTGGAATTAAGCAAAGGGATGTTCTAAGTTTCTTCTTTCATTCAATATTGGAATTTTGGTATGTTTGTACTACTATGCTATAATTTTTTGGGCTTCTTAGATGTAATGGATGTAATCCACAAGCTCTCTCTCTTCAATTGCAATCCAATAACTTATGTGTCTTGCCAAGTAAACAATTAGTATGTCCATAATTTTTAATTAATTTACAGTATATGCCACTATCAAAAAAATACAAGTTTATGAAAACACCTCCCTAAAATTAAGGCATCTCCTACAATCATGTTTCTTGTTTGAGTAATACATGTTATAGAGGTGTGAACCTTTTGAACTATTATTTTAGTTTGAAGATCCATATAAATATGAGTTCAATTACCTGGAATAGAGATGGCTTGTGGGTTTAATTACCTAGACTAGTGCTAGAGGTAATGTATAGGTTTAATTACCTGGAATAGAGATGTATGTATAAGTTCCTTACATATTGGTAAGGTATGAAATTTCAAAAACTCCAACTACAATTTTAAATTTTATTTGTTGTTTTCGACTCTTAATATTATTAATAAAGATTCTAATCATCGCACCAATTAAAGAAACACTAGAATTGATATCATAATAAATTTTAAATTCTAATCACCCCATAAACTTGATACTTATTATCATGACGTACAAATATAGCCAAATGGCGTATTGTTGTTTGGGGTTAAGATTTCAAAAAGTCAAATGACGTACAAATAAAGAGACAACACAAATTAAAATCATCATTAAATTTGATACTTATTGTCGGAAGTTCTTACATGAATTATATACTTATTGGGAATTTGGATCTATATCAACTTTTCTGTAATTTGTTTTTGAAAAATACTTGCCTCCTTCCCTAGAAGTAGGAACTCCTACTTTCCTGTTAATCGCAATTTAACATGTGTGCTGAGATTCTTCTTTTTGTATATATGTCAAACTTTGATTTGCAAGAAGTAGAAATACCTCTTTTTAGATAAGGAGGGAAGCATTGTCTTTTTTTTCCTTCAAAGTTTGCTTTATTACAAGCTTCAAACAATAATATAGCTAATCTAGCTAAATTCTTTGTTAACATATATGAAGTTTATATGTTCTTGTCCTCTAGCTAAAGGACAAAAACTTGTCATCCTCCATATAGTTTTGCATTTTGTTTGCTTCTTCTACTTTATAACAGAGGTAAGCCGATGGACTTGTACAAACTAGCCAAATTAAATCAATTCGAGCGGTTTTAAATATTTTTATATTGGACCGAACTGAGTCAAATCATAATTAGTTTGGTTCAATTCGATTTGACATAGATGGTATTTGCTTAAATTGAAAACTCGCCCTTGTTATATTTGACATTTTCTTATTGGTTATCACTATTTTAAAGGTTATAAGTTCTTAGGATGTTAGAAATTTAATTAGAAAAAAGAAGATGGATTACAATATCGAAAACTCGCTTTTTTTATGTTTGGTCGGAGCATCTTGGAATGTACGTAGTTAATGCAATATTTGTTGATTGTGGTGCCAGGATTATCATATCATTATTAGAGGAAAATGGAATTAATCAATCATGATCCATTAGTAACTTCAATGAGTGAGGTGTTGGATAGATTGCCTCCCCTGTCCCCTTCATGTTGCATCTACAGAGTTCCTAAGCGACAACGGCGCGTAAGTGAACAAGCCTACACGCCTCAGGTAGTCTCGATAGGCCCCCTTCACCATGGCAAAGAAGCCCTGAAAGCCATGGAAGAGCTTAAAAATAGGTACCTACAAGATTTTTTACATCGGACCAATGTAAGTTTGGAATATTTTATAAAGAAAATAAGGGCCCAAGAAGCAAAACTGCGCAGTTGTTATGCAGAGACCATTGGGTTTAGCAGCGATGAATTTGTAAGAATCATTCTGGTGGATGCGGCCTTCATCATCGAGGTCTTGTTGAGGTTCTGTTACAAGCATTTGCGGGTTGAGAATGATCGTATATTTAACAAACCAAGGATGTTGGAGGATGTATGGCCTGACATGCGGATGCTTGAAAATCAGCTCCCTTTCTTCATTCTCGAGGATCTTTTCGATCATGAAAGAAATATTGTTGGCATTCAGACGACAATTATTGATCTTTCTTACCATTTCTTCAAAACTCTAATGCATATGAAGGACATGGAAGACACTTTGTCCCGGATACGTCCTCCTCATCAGGTAGAGCATTTTGTTGATTTTGTTAGAAAGTTATATCCATTGCCTCCACAATTAAAATCGAAAGTGCCACAAGTTCAAGGGCCATTCCAAACCCTAACCATAGGCATGATGTCATCATGTGTAATGGATGTACCACAAGCTCGAGGGCAACTTGAAACCCAAACCATACCCAGCATGACACAGTTATACCGAGCAGGGGTCAAGTTTAGGAAGGGGTCAAGCACAAACATATTCGACATTCGGTTCAATATTGACGATGGCATTTTGGAAATTCCAAAAATAACAATAAGTGATCAATCAGAGGTCACACTCACAAATCTCCTTGTCTTTGAACAAACCCTATGCAAGAAGGTAGAAAATTACATAAATGATTATGTTGTCATCTTAAACATTCTTGTGAACACCCCGGAGGACGTGGCGTTGCTTGTTAAGAATGGGATTGTTGAAAACAAGCTAGGTGACAGCACTAAAGCCTGTACAATGATCAAGAACCTTGCTGACGGCGTCATTATGGCCGATGAGTTCTACTTCACCACTCTTTGTGAAAACCTGAACAAGTACTACAGAATGTTTAGGCACAGATGGAAGGAATATTTGATAAAACATTTCTTCAACTCACCTTGGACAACTAAGGAAATCGTTGCACTTGCTATTTTCCTAATGCTCACTTTCGTACAGACGGTGTGCTCTATTATCTCTGCTGCGCAACAATAGTAAGTTTCTCCTTGGCCTTTTCCTCCCCATATCCTTATCCCTTTGTTCATTCACATCACATGTGCTGCTTTTCTACCGGCTTAGAGGTAGCGTCTAGTCTTTGGGAGAGGTGCAAGTTTGGTTTAATTTGCAAACTGCGATTAGTCGTCTATAGTATAGGAGGCTTAGGTTTCCTTCAACTGAGTGTAAGAGAGATTTGAAGTTTGAAAAAAAAAATGTACATACTCTGACACTTAATTTCCTTTTCTAATTGGAATTTACAAGGTTAATTAGTATGATAGGAAGTTGATTTAAATTAGGAATTTTAGATAATTAATTGAGTGAGAAGCCATTATTAGGCTTTCTCTTCTGATAATCGGTTTCTTTCGTTCACCAGGTTCTAGCAGGAAGCTAATTTGGGGTCTCGTCAAAGAAGGGATACTAGGAAAGCCTGTGAATACGTATCTAACAAATAAAGCTGTGTATGTCCACCCAACTTGGATATTGCTTTGCCCTGATCTCTCTGCATTTCCATATGAAAAGCATGATGTGAAGAAGTGCCCCTGCTAGCTAGGCCCATTGCCAAGCTCCTGAAATGAGCTGAAATATGTAAATCCATCAAAGTATTTCATTCTTTCAAGTGTTCATATTTAACAAATTCAAACTGTATGTATCAAACTGTAAGTTTTCTTGCCGAGACTTTTATTTGGCTGAAAATATTGTTATAATTATATATAATACTAAACTGTATCTCAGATATTTCTCTCATAAATTTCAATACATGATATTAGAAACTTTTAAAGATAAATATAGGGTTGACAAAGTGAGATAAATCTAGCACACTGCCTATACTTCCTTTTAAATACAGAGGAAAACAGGGGGGAAAACAGGGGAAAAGAGCTTGCATTGGCCTCAGTCCCCCCATATGTCTGTCTACTCTTGCATGATCAATTAATGCCCTACAACGAATCCTCTAGGTCTTTTCTAATGCTCACTTTTGTTCAGACGGTGTGCTCTTTTATCTCAACAATTTCAATCAAACTGTATGTTTTCTAGCCAATACTTCTTTTTTTTTGGCTAAACTGTATGAGTTGAAAATGTGGTTATAATTGTATATAATACTAAATTGTTTATCCAATATTTCTCTCATAAATCTCAGCACATGAAATTAGAAACTCTTTTGGATAAATACAGGGTCGAGAAAGTGAGATGAATCTATCACACGCTTTACAAATTTTTCCCATTTACACACCTGGAATACAGAGGAAAACTTGGGAAAAAAATTCAAAATTAGTGTTTGTTTTATTTGTCTCTTTATTCATGCTCCTTCTTATGCAGAATCCCACATTTATAGAATATGAGAATGTTAGTCGACCGGCTTCTCATATGTGCAAACCCGGGATCTGCTTAAGAATTTTTTTCTATAATCAATCAAATGTGTTCTAATTAGCCCTATACTTGAGTTCATGTGCTCTAAAGAAAACAGTGTAAATGTATTTGTAAGTGACGAAATGTACATGGATTGAATCAAGGCTAAAATGAAAGTGGGAAAATTATATACATGAATAATCAAGGCTCCACCAAACATACCAACATATATGGGGTTTGTCTAACAATATAAAACATGTCCAACGCTATAAAGAATCTATATAGTTTTTTATATACTGTTATATGCTGAGCTTTGGAAGTCTGTCTT